TTGGAAAACTAATGAATGCAATGAGAAAAACATAACACACTTCATATGTCATTTAAGGGTTTGTTTGGTTTTTTTATAAGGAAAAAAAAACCTCCCACAGACTTCTCAGGAATTAACATGAGAACACTATTTAGGATTAAGAAATTTTTCAGGAAGGGATCTAGTCTGTTATTCCAGGCCTAGTGGGGAGAAAGCAAGAGAGAGAGTGACAGAGTGAGACAACACAGTCTGTATAGAATCATTATAACCAGGCAGCTGACTGAAAATAAATTCATGGCAGCCATTACTGGATTTCTGTCTTAGGTTGGACAGACCACATGGGGCTTTGGCCCTGAATAACCTGGAACAAGTTCCCCTCAGGGGTCCTCCTAAATAGCTTGTGTTACCTTGGAAAAGGTTTTAAATAGCATCCATTTCAATCTACCTCTCCCTTACATCTCAGTCATTGTTAGAGGATAACAGCACCTCTCTACTGCAGAACAAAAATTATAGTAGAAGTTCCTTTCTTCACTGTAAGGCAAAACAGTTGAATGGAATACTCTGAGGGAATATAAAGTGAAATAAATCAACTTTGCATTTAGGCATGAATGTAGCTCAGTTTTGTAGGGTATTTTTTCCTCTGATGAATGCAGGTTCCCCAATCCACTCTAGATCCAAATTACTGCTCATGTTTCATATTCCATAGTCAGTCCTCTTCATGTGGCTATGAGTGCTTCATTTTCCAGTATGGTGCTTCTTTTCCAAATTCCATAACAAAATGCCCCTGGGACTTCCTGCTTCTATATCTGGGATCTACCACCTGCTTTGCAATATGGGAAATGCAGGGAAGAAGAACCTGAAACTGATTTGCGGCCTCCATGCTGAAAGTCCATTTCCTATTCTGCACTCAAAAAGTATCATCCAGTGCATGTTGATGCCGATCAGTGACATATGCAGCAAGTGAAATATTTCCATTTTAAGTTCAAGCAAGATATTCAAATCTTTGCCATTTGAAAGCCAACTTCAGTGTTAAGAAAACTACAGATGTCATTTTGCCCATATAAATAGTATGCACTGATGGGCTTACCTTAATAAAACTCACAATGTATATAGCTAATCAAATATTCTTTTCTTACTCCACTGACATCCTCCTCACTAAAAATTCTTCTTGCCTGTAGGAGTTTGTAGGGGATTTTTTTCCAAAGACATTTTCATGTAAAAATTAGTTGGTTTTTTTGCCAAAATTACAAAATTTGAAGTCTGACCAGCTTTTGCTTCCTGATGAATTGAACAGTATATCTAAAACGGTACAGGATGCAGACTGAATCTGTTACAAGGCTACTGTGTTTTCCTGTCAAAATGAAAATCAGTGCAAATACTGTACATTGATATCAGCCCAGTAATGAGCCAATTATTCAAAAGCTTAAGAACTTTACCTCTGTTGGAAACAGTCGGTGAGCATCAAAACAAGGCTGTCATGTGTTCATAGAATCACAGACAATTCAGGTTGGAAGGGACCTTAGGAGGTCATCCAGTCCAACCCCCATCTCAAATCAGGATCATCCCCAACTATAACATCCCAGCCAAGGCTTTGTATAGCTGGGTCTTAAAAACCTTCAGGGATAGAGATTCCACAACCTGTCTGGGTAACCTGTTCCAGTGTTTTACTACCCTCCTAGTGAGAAAGTTCTTCCTAATATATAATCTAAACTTCCCTTGGAGCAACTTGAGATCATTACTCCTTGTTCTATCATCTGCCACCACTAGATTCATCCTCTTTGGAACCACCCTTCAGGTGATTGAAGGCTGCTATTAAATCCCCTCCCAGTCTTTTCTGCAGACTAAATAAACCCAGTTCATTCAGCCTCTCCTCATAAGTCATATCTCCCAGCCCTCACACAAGATTGGCCACAGGTGGACCTCGCCCAGTTGGCAGGATCAACCAAAGAGGACCCCTCTCTCCTGTTCGGTGCAACTGATCACAAGGGGGCACAGGCCCCCCCAACTAAGGCAGCACCAGTCACCCATGACAGAGACAAAATTCAAGTTGTGAGTGACAAAGCAAAAGATGGGAGATAAGTGCTCTTCTACCTTGTTCTACTGGGCAAGGTACAGGGAATATAGTCTAATTCCCTTGAAGTAGAAGCTGGAGAAAGAGGTAGTTACAAGCAGGTCCCAAAAAAAAACATTTAAGCATGTGGCCACAACAAATTTCTCAGCAAAATGCTCAATTCTGTGGCATTGTGAAAAGATGCTAAATTTCATGACCACAGAAGTGAAGAATTTAGAGGGCTTTAATTAAAAAGGCAACATATACCTCTTTACCTGATTTTTCAGACTTAAATCAATGAACACCTGATTCATGTTCTGTTCATACTTTCAAGATCTTTGCATGAACAAGGGCAAGAAACAGATTTGTTCTAAAAAACGGAAAGGTATGAAAAGACGACTGATTTTCCAGAAACCTGATCATAATCCAAGACTGGGATCCCTGTGGAAGTTAATACTGTAAAAAAATGTTTCACATGCAGCTAGCTACATGTCAAAGTTGCTATTGAACTTTTATGTAGGCATTGATAAATCTACAAGTGTGACAAAAGGAACTAACTGGTCTGTCTTGTCCCACTTGTATTGATGTCCTGGCCAGCATAATGGCTGAAAGGAACCTTGGGGTTGACTGCAGGATTAACATGAGCTGCCAGTGCAACACTGTAGTCAGGGCTAATAGCATACTGGGATGCATTAGCCAATGTGTCACAAGCAGGGCCTAAAGAAGTGATACTTTCTCTCTACTCAGCATTGATGAAACCCCAGCTGGAGTTCTGGGTGTCATGCTTCAAAAAAAAGATGTGGAGAATTTTAAAAGGGTCCAGAGAATGGCCACAAGAATGATTAAGGGCCTGGAGATCAAGCCTTATGAAGAAAGACTACGGGATCTGGAACTGTTCAGCCTGGGGAAGACTGAGGGGGGACTTGATGACCATCTATAAATATGTAAGGGGAGAATATCAGGAGCTGGGAGAAACTGTTCACTAGGGCGCCCCGGGGAGAACAAGTAGTACTGGTCATAAAACTATTAGAGGATGGTTTCAGGTTGGATGCAAGGAAGAATTTCTTTATGGTAAGTGTGTCCAGAATCTGAAATAAACTTCCCAAGGAGGTAGTACAGTCCCCAACCTTGAAAGTCTTCAAGAAGAGACTGGACAGACACCGTGCTGGGATCATTTGATCTCAACAGTATTCCTCCCCAGAGCAGGAAGGCTGGACTTGATCTTTCAAGGTCCCTTCCAGCTCTTAATTTCTATGATGATTGTATGTCACTAGCTTGCCCAGTAGTTTCTGTTAAAATGCTGCACAACACAGAGTACAGCTTTGTAGGCAAAGGGCTTTGAAAATAGAGATGTGTTATCTAAAGTTTACTTAGAAGGTTCCAGGAAGGTGGGATAGCAGTACATCATGATCAAGTTTTAAAATGTTCCAAAAAGATTCCAAGGCATAAATATGAACATATTTCCCTTGTCTGCAGATAGAAAATTATCTATTGGGACCAACTGTGCTGCCTAGTTATGAAGTACTTGCCAAGCACTGTTGAGTAATCCAAAATGCTGGTAACTGAAGAGGTAGTATCAGAAGCTTTTTATTTTCAAACTATTTATAAAGCCAGACAAAAGGAAAATTAGATAATAGGTGTCAGTTTAAAAGATCTTTCTTTAGTTTCAGGCAATTTCTTCAGTACCAGACCAACTTACAAATCTCTCTTAAAAGATGCCTTAAAGGCACTTTTGAAAATGAAATTCCTGGCATAGGCAAAAGATACCTTAATGTTTTCAAGTGTTTTCCCAAATTAAAAGTTCCATCTCTTAATAATTGTTTTTCTTTGACTTGTATACAACAAACAAACAAAAAACTTTCCAAGACTCACCTTTTCCCCTCTCTGTTCATTTAATGTCTCAACCCTGTGACACAAAACTTGAATAGGCTCTTTCAACCGTCCTGATCCTATTAGATCTTCTAAATATTCGAGCATACCTTCATCGTGTTCAGTCTGGCCTTTTGGTTTCATCATTGCAATCTGTTCAACTTCTCCCTTTAAAAAAAAAAGAAAAAAAAGAGTGATCTAGATTTGACCAGTCTTATTTTCTTTCACTAATAAATTTACTAAATTTCCATAAGCCAATTGTATGCAAATAAGATAACAACCTTAAAGGTTCCAAACAAACCATGGAAAAACAAAAAATTATATTTCTATATTTCCAAACAGAAATTTAATAATCCAAAACAGCTAGTTACAACATTGAAATATCTAGCAGGAAGTTGTGACCAAATGAATGAGTGTGGTGCCTAATACAATCTACATCTGCCTTCCAAAGCTCATAGTCCAAATTAAAGTTCACTTCAGCACTGTACAGATTCGGTACCATTTCTCCCCAGTCTACAGGGAAAAAAAAAAAAAAGTAAAACCTGCACTCCAAGACATATGCCAAGTTCCTTTTCTGTTTGTTTGTTTGGTTGGTTTTTTTGTTTTTTAAAGTAAGCTTAATCAGAAGTGAAATCCTATTAAAAATGTTAGTTTAGCAAAATCTCTCAAAACCACCTTCTTGATCATTTGGACTCATCTGTTATCCAACTGGAACTTCACTGCAAATCTTGGGACCAGAAGTCCCATGGACCCCCCTCCTTCCCCACTGGAAGTCCCTCCCCTTTCCCCCAGTACTCCTTGGAAGAGGGGGTCATTGCAGAACCAACCCCCCCCCGCAATCATACACTAAAAAATCAAACATTTACTATAACATTTTAATTTTATTTCAAGAAATATTTTTGTCTTGATTTGTGCGCATGTGTGTGTGTAATGTATATAAAGACAATTGCATAATAGCTCAAAATAACATCTTACTCGTGTGTGTGGGTGCGCGCGCGTGCGTGTGTATGCGTGCTACTCCTCCTGGAAGTGGAACAAACTTCTGATTGAAAAGAGTTCCTCTCTGTAGGTGAAGGACAGCATGAGAAAAAGCATGAAAGGTGCTCATGGGAAAATGTATTTAGTTGCGATAGAGGGTGGCCCATAGACTGATCAGAGAAAAAGTTTCATTTTAAACACTGAAGAGAGTGATAGGAGGCTGATAACAAATTATGAATACGCTTGAAACTGAAGAAGAGTAAACTTGCTTGATGTGACAAGAACCAGCACAAGAAAATCAATCAATCAATCAATCAATCAATCAATCACAGAAATGTATTAAGAACAATTTTTACAGAAAGCTACTTCATGGATACGAGCAGGCAAGTCCACATTTGTCAAAGTCAGTGAATAGCGATGTTGTAGTAACAGAAATGAGATGACAGCTTGGACAAAAGTTAATCCCTAGGAATGTGTAAGAAAAGTCTTGTCTAGATGAGAGGTCCAAGCTACTGAGCAGTGGCTCCCAATCTTTTTAGAATTGAGAAACCTCTCGCTAGAGTCAAGGCACACCTCAGAAAAAGCCAGCTTTAGCTATCATTTGTTTCACGACAGAAAAATAAAGCAATTTTTCTGTTCCAAAGAACTCAGAAAGACTACAACAGGTCAGAATGTTTTTGACACCATGGATTCCTATTTGAAACCTCCAGGTTTATCTTCTAAATCAGTGGTTCTCGACCATTTTTGTACCAGGACCCATTAATAAACATCAATGGCCAGTCCTGACCCAGTACCCCTGACTCCTGACCTGTTGTGCTTTGCTCCCAGGCCCCAGCAGCCCCTTGCAGGCTGGAAATCTGGAGGCCTTCACGGAAAAAGCCACTTTTGGGTCGTGACCCACAGGTTGAAAAATACTGTTCTAAATCATGTGTAGGTGTTTGCACATCTAACAGTGCTAATACTGTATAGCACTGCACAGCACCCTTGTTGAAGATAAATGTACCATCAAGTTATGGCAGTGTCCAGTTACTGGGACAGGAAAAAGTGAGGAGGCCTGGGGGTAAGTTTAAATATACTAAGCTCCATTTGACAGCTAAACCTCCATGAAGAGATGAAAGAGACCTAGGCCAACATTTTGATATAGATACAATAGAGCTCTGGAATAGAGAGAACCAAGAGTTACCCAAATAGAAAGCATAGTTGAATCTGTTTAGAGATTAATACAAATATATATGGGATCCTATAACCCCAGAGGACTTCCTGCCCTTTGGGCGGGGGGTTGGACTCGATGATCTTCTGAGGTCCCTTCCAGCCCTAATGTCTCTGAAATCTATAAAATGAAGAGATGAAAGAGGAGTAAACAGAGACCTGTGGAATTGTGACAGAAAGCTGAAGGGGTGGAGGAGGAGGATACTTTAAGAGAGACAATGAACAACTGACTAATGAGGACAAGAATAGCCACAGGAAAAAAGATAAGATTTTAATAAAAGGGCAAAGATCTGTGTTAAAAGTGGCTGACAAGCACGACCAAACTAGAGTACCAGTCCTAAACTTATGCTAGAAAGAGGTTGTTCGGTACCATGGTAAGAGAGGTTTCATTATCACTTATTTAGTATGACACCTAGTGGCCCTACATATTCTTCTCCATAAAACATATTCAACCCCAGTACAAATGAGCAGGAGAGAGAGAAAAAAATATCCAAGTCAAACCTTTATCTTGTATAATTTTACATATCTTGGTATACTTGTTTCATGGTCTGCATATCCTGTCACATTAAAGTAAAATACAGTAGGCAACTTTCTTACCTGAAACCTATATAAACTGAGCACACATGAACTGCACATTCTTTTTTTGATCAAATATTGCAAAAGTATCTTCTGTATTCTCTTCCAACTATTAATGTCTATGGACATTTATTTAGGAAAGGAAACAATTTCTTTTCTGTAATTTCTTAATCGTGTGTTCTTATTCCTTAGTCATTATGAATATCAAAACAAATATAGTTATTTTCTGATAATTACAGTTGAACTGGGAATCCTCCTTGAGCTGACAACTACCCTTAGAGTAGAATTACGATCTGTTTGCAATCTTGCCTCCCTTAGCTTCTATAAATCTGTTCATTTTTGGTTCTCAGCTCTCTAATTATTCCTCAAGTTGATTTTCTCCATCCTCCCCTCTCAACTTTCTGTGGGAGTTTTTACAAGTGTTTCTTTGGTCCTCTCTACACTCCTCACAACGTTGGTTTATTTATACCCAAGAAAAGGTGCAATTACTTGGATTAAAATAAGACTTTTCTATAGCTTTGAGTGACAACATGTAGAAAATTGTCTTTAACTCTTTCTCACTGAAGACATTATACATGCATTATGCACTGTAGAATCTCAAGATGGGCATTTCAAAGTTTGATTATGTACTTCCATATTTTCAATTCTGGCTAGATGCAAAGCATACAACTAGCCTGATTTTCAAGAGGTGGAAGAAATCTTCTCCTCAGAGGCTGTATAAAGTGTTATTTTAAATTAGAATATTATTATTAGTTTAATTTTTGTAATGCTATGCCAGGTTTCTAGAGCGGGAAAGCCTACTGTAGAGTCTTGAACATTTTCTTTTCATACATTGTTAAAACAAACAAACAAACAAACAAACAAACAATGGAAAAACCTAACAAATTGCTATTATAATTTTACTCCCTTTTGCCCTTGCTCAAATAGTCCTCAATACAGAAAGAAACTCAACACATTTAGGACTTTTAAAGTAAAACACCCAATTGCTTACAAATTAGTTAGTTTACCATCTAATGGGTCAACCTCAAAAATGACAGAGGAGATCTGCATTTTATAGACTAACTAAATTAGAGATATGTATAGCATAAGCTTTTATGAGCTGGAGCTAACTTCATTACATGCCTTTCACAGCATCTGATAAAGGTATACTGTGAAAAAATTGTACCTAGGGACACTAATAGATAGGCTTGAACACATTTGATATAATTCTTAAGTATGTCCTCTCTATTCCCACCCCTTTAAGTTAGTTACACTTTTTTCTTTCTTTCTTTCTTTTTTTTTAAAGTGCCGGGTTATATTATTAAAAGGTTTCTTTCAGTAATCTGATCAGTTATTTGTTGAAAGTAACTAACTGAAAAATTTAAGTTGACAGTATTTTCTAACACCTACAGATTTATTTATTAAAGTAAGTTAGGACCCATTTTTAAATCTCAAAATTATCCAACAAGAAACCGTTTCAGCAGTTTACCATACATAAACATATGCACCTTTTATTAGAGAAGTGAATATATAAGGAAGAGAATACAGTACACATACTATTCTGTTACAGTGATAACTCGGTATAAAGAAATATAAACCACATAACTATGTGCATTCATGTATGGAATAATAATAATAATTTTGCAACTGCAAAAATGTCCTTGAATATTCCATAATTTTGCTCCAGAGATCAGAGGGTTTTTTTCAAAAGTATGAAGTATCAAGCTATTCTGCTTGTGAGGATAATTATCAAAGTTGAAGTATACATAAAACTTATGAGAGGACATAAGAAAACAAATCTGTAAAACAGTCCACAGAAGAAAAAGTATATCCTTTGACCACTTGGAAAGTCTGCATTTAATAGTTAAAGCTTCTGTATACACCTTAGACTTCTATGTACATCTAAATATTCAATAGATAGATCTATCAATCTTTGTCATGCTGCACTCTGCTTTGCATGTACAGATATGTGCTCTCTCTTGTTTCTATTTATCTTGGACTCAAATTTCTAAAATATGCCAATATAAGGGTAACAATGGAAGATCTTTTGCATTAGTGCTCCATCATCAAAATGTAACCCCTGTAAGGAACAGGTTAATTCCTACATAGAAGCCACCAGTTTTTTAGGAAAACTATAAAACAATGAAATCACCTGGTAAAGGCTGTGATCAGCTGCTGGGGCTGATTAGGAGGTCATCTGACAGAGTATGCTGGAAGGTTATAAACAGGCAGGAGCTATTTCACACTGGAGGTCATTTCTACCACCTCAAAATGTGGGGCCCCTGCAAGATCCTCTGGGCAATCTGGGGATTGCGCCAGAGAAAGCAGACCTCTTTAACCAATTCTTCACCTCTGTTTTCTTGGGCAGGGATCGGGACTTTTCCGTGATGCAAGACGGACTCGAGGGGAATGCCTCCAGACCCCAG